GGTTAATATTTAAGGGGGTGTTTTTATAGATATTATAAAGCGGTTTATAAGGTGGTTCCTTCATTCAAAGTTAGTTGGGAGGTAGGAGCCTAAAAGTCAAAGTTTTAGGTTATCTTTTCTAATAATTAGAACCCTTGAAGGTATAACCCTTTTGATAGAGGATATTCTCTAATTTTTACTTCATATTATAGTGATTTCTCTACAGAGATCCTAACTCTTGCTATAAAGTTGCTTTCCATATAAAAAATAGTTGGAAATTACAGGCAACTTGAGAGAAAAATTATCTCTTGGATAACCAGCTTACCTTAAATAACGGTATCCATCCATTTGGCGACCGTGACAATTGAAACAAGCACAAACATGAATCTATCTGGTCACCTACATGGCTTTTACAAGGCTTTTGAAGCCAAACTGAGTTTTTTAGAATGAAAATATGGAAATTCAAACTTAAAAGGGAACTTATCTACCCTATAACCCAAAGACATAGACTTTAGTTAGTTAACTGCTCTGTATATGTATATTTATGAGTTATATGGCGACCGTGACATGACATGGACATTTTTTATTTGCATAAAAATTATCCGTGATTATATCTCAGTTTTTTAAATGAAACTTAATATTTTATAATGAAAATGTTATGAAAATAAGTATCTAATAGCCGGATAAAGCTACTTACGAAGAAAATTATCTTCCAGATAACCCAAAGATATGTATTCTTTGTTTAAAACAGGGTTTTTAAATCCTAACTTTAGAAATATTTTTACTATGTTGGGAATTATAAGCTGAAAAGCCCTTTTTGGTCGAATATACTCCCTAATTGTTACCTCAAATATTAATAAAATTCCCATAGATCTTAATACTCCCAAAATAGTATAGTTCTCTTGACTAGAAATAGGCTTACCATTAAAAGTCCTTAGACTGCGCACATCTCGGCCCCACAGAAATGAGAAATGAACGAATGAGCAGGCAACACACACACACACACCCACACACATACCAAGATAAGGACACCCACACACACATAGGCATCCTTTAAAACATATACATATTCATGTATGCAAAAAAAAAAAAAAGAAAGAAAAAAAGAAAAAGTGTGTGCGCGAGTCCTGAACGACATGCTAAAAATTTGTATAGAAAATTAGTTAAAAAATTACTCCGCAGACACGCGCACGCATTAAGTGTGGAAGAGGGTAGCCAAGAGGGGGGGATACACTTTACATATGCGCACACACACACACACACACATACAGAGACAGAGATAGCGAGAACGAATCGCTCCACCAGTTAGACACAGTTGGCATTAGTGGGCGGTGTTAGAAGTACGCGCATCAAGCAACCGCCGGTCCCCCCTACCCCCAACCATGCTTCTAGCCTACCTTACCCACTCCCCCCACACACACACACACATACATATATACACACATTAAGGATACACCTCCACATGGGCCATGTACAATTTTAATGTTTAGAGTCGCGCGCTTAAAGTTTGTCATAAAGCACCCCATTAAAAAAAGGGCGAACACTGTTTGCAAATGGCATGAAAAGGGGGTGGGGGGGTAGGAGGAGGACCTTAAGGGGGGGTCTGTTTTTTAGATGGTGGTGGTATGTATTTGGAGGCACTGGTTGCCAGAAAGAGAACTCCATCAAATTAAATACAAATGCGAATTAGAAAAACTTTTCCCCGTTTTTTTTTTTTTGGTTTCTTTTTTTTGGAGAAGCGGACTCCTGTGTACATATGAAAAATTAAATTGGCTGCTGTCGACGTCAACTGAGACTGCGACAGAGCGACTGCAGCAGCGACTGTCACTAACAGACTAGCGCGAATGCTAAAGAGGCAAGATGGTTAGTGGCAAGTAGGGTATGGTGGGGGCTATGGAAGGGGGCACGCACATGCCAGCAGAAAAAGCAAAAAACTTTTTCCCCAAAAAAAAAAAGAAAGTGCTCGCAGAAAAGGCAGGATGTGGCATAAAGGGATAGGAGTACTCAGAGTAGAGGGGGTGGAGGAAGGGGGGGGGCGCCACAACAAGTTAAAACAAACAGCCGACTCAAAAGCAAGCACACGACGGGGCGATGAAGCCCCATCGAAGTCGAAACAGAGACGATGATGATGAGGAAATTATTCTAAAAAACATATAAAAAACTGAATAATAAATGCTCTTTTTTTTATAGAAAATATTAATATTTTTTATTAATAAAAATAGTTATTAGAAACTAAACAGAATCTTAGAATCTAATCATCTGATATCTTGGGATTGAAAAGTATCTTGGGGTTTTAGAAGCAAACGTTTTAAAGATATTTTTAATTTAATTAATTTTAATATAAAACAAGAAAGGAAAGCTAACTTCGGGCGGAGCCGAAGTTTATATACCCTTGCAGCTAAAACCGGATATATATCGCAAACATCGGATATAGTTGGCCGATCCTTATGAAATTTGGTAGGATGGATCAAAATATAATCTGTACCAAGTTCCAGCTTTCTATCTTCAAAAACACAAAAGTTGGGTCATTTCCGATCGTTCAGTTATATGGCAGCTATAGGATATAGTCGGCCGATCCTAATGAAATTTGGTAGGTTGGATCAACTAACCAAAAATAGAGTCTGTACTAAATTTCAGCTTTCTATCTTCAAAAACACGAAAGTTGGGTCATTTCCGATCGTTGAGTTATATGGCAGCTATAGGATATAGTCGGCCGATCCTTATGAAATTTGGCATGTCGTATTATTTTGCCAAAAATAGCTCTCATGTCAAATTTGAACTCTCTAACTCTAAAAACACCAAAGTTATACCATTTCCGATCAATCAGTTATATGGCAGCTATAGGATATAGTCGGCCGATCCCGGCCGTTCCGACTTATATACTGCGTGCAAAGGAAAGAAGGGTGTGTGCAAAGTTTCAAGACGATAGCTTTAAAACTGAGAGACTAGTTTGCGTAGAAACAGACAGACGGACAGACGGACAGACGGACAGACGGACAGACGGACATGCTCATATCAACTCAGGAGGTGATCCTGATCAAGAATATATATACTTTATAGGGTCGGAGATGTCTCCTTCACTGCGTTGCACACTTTTGGACAAAATTATAATACCCTCTGCAAGGGTATAAAAAGGTTTTATTTCAGGGCTCTTTAATTTCTTAATATATTTTTTATTTATTTTAGTATATAAAACTATTTTTTATAATCTAAGTCTGGTAAGATATAATATTTTTAATATATATACATAGTTTCTGGTTTCCCTTGTTTATTAAAATTCATTAAAAAAATTTAAAAATTAAAAATAAAAATAGAGAGAAATTAAAAATATTCGTATAAGATCTTAAAATACTTAAATTTTAAGTATTCATTTTTTTTATTATTTTTTTAATATTTTTAATATTTTTAATATTTTAAATATTTTTAATAATTTTTTCCAAAAGAAACCCCATCCTAGAAACCTCAAAGATACTTCCTTTCCCCCACAAAGCATATACTATACCCTTACTATAGTAAGATCTAGAGTTTTTTGGCTAAATTATCTTTCACAATTCCCAAATCTACATATACTCCTGCCCCTGACCCTCCACACTCCCCACCCCCCCCTAGCAAAATGTTAAATTATTTGGCAACGAATTTCGTTTTTGGGTTTTTTTGGTTCCTGATGAGGTAGGGTAGGGGTGGTAGCTCACAAATTAAAAAATAAGCTTTGCAGCTCCGCTGCCGTTGCTGCCGCCAGCAGAGAAAGAAAGGGGGGTGTATAGTATGGTAAGGGGGGAGCTTCATCTTCATCTGCACGCACCACAACGCACTTTTCCACAAATACATTTGCAATTTATGTACCTTTTGCTGGCTGCGACGCGCGAAATAATAAAAAGGGAGCACCAAAAAAACACACACACATACTCATGACACACACACATACTGACACACACACACATGTATAGAATAAGAACCGTAGGCAGTTCGACAATGTTCTATATCAGGGATCGGCACCCCAATACATTGATATGATTTTACCGCATTAGTGTTAGTAACGAATAGCAGAAAGTAGGCTGTGTGCATGACGTTTCACACATGTATACTGTGTGTGTGTGGCAGAGCTCGGGCAGAGAAATTTCCTATGCCCCCGAGATAGGGCCGTGCCGACCTCTGTTCTATATGGTTACATATTCATATGAGTGGGCGAAAGAGAGATGGAATGCGTTTACATAAGCTCCGCGTAACTTTTTTTTTTTTTTGCTAAAAAATAAATACGCGGATGTACAAGTGAGGAGGAGGAGGGGGGGTGTAGGAGAAAGTATAGGGTGCCTGAGGTTGACTCAACTTTGCATACCGAAAGCCCCCCGAAAAAAAATTATATATCCTTCGAGGGTATTTCCGATTCGGTATCCTTGTATCCTGACATTGTTCAGGATATTTTATATATATATATGGTTTTTTTTTCACTGTCGTTTTGTAGTTGTTTTTGGCAATTAACCAAAAGTGGTGGTACCCCCTCCCCACTCCCCAACCATCGTTGCTCTGTCACACGCATGCTTTTTGGGGAGCCTTTGCCAACCCACTTGAAATTTTTTTAAATATTTTTAACTGCTCTGCTCGGCTCTCACTCTGTTTGGTTAATATTTTCCGGGCGATGTGTGTATATGTATGTGTGTGTGTGTGTTGGTGGTGTCTAGTGTTTGCCCCCCCATGTGCGTAATTTATTAACCAAAAAATAAAAAAAAAAAAAACACTGAAACGAGAGCGTAAAAAACAAAGGCACCCAAAGTAGGTGGAGCAACAAATTTCAGTTCGCTTCTGACACTTGAAGCTTACTTTTTTTTTTTGTTCCAAAAAGGGGGGGCTTAAAAATAATAAAAATAGGTGGAGGGTGTTGGGAGGGGAATGCTAAAGTATACATAAACATAAGCATACAAATAACATATACATATATGTACATATAACATATATATATAGAGAATGTGAAAACGTTTTTTGTTCACGAGGCACATAATTAATAATTGGAAGGCACAACTTACCAATAGGCAGGACGAGTACCCAGGACATCACGGGCCCAGGAGTCTGCAGGGATACACAGAGCTCTGAAATAGAACAAGATACAAAGGATATAGAGGTATAGGATATAGGCTTAGGATTTTTAAGATAAATCATTAAAATTTGAAAGAAAGGTAATTTTATTTCTTCTGAATCTTTAGTTGAGAATTGTAGTTCAAAAAAAGGGGATTTCTTATAAAGATATTTGTGTTTTAAATATAGTAGCTATAGTATAGCTTCAAATATATGGTATTTATTAGGTTTAGAAAGTTTCAAAGGCTTATAGTTTCAGAAACATGTCTCCGAAGTAGTTTCAAACTTAAGTATTTCATTCTGAAATTCTAGTTGGGAATTATAGTTTTTTTTTAACTATAATATTTTTTTAACTATATAATATCGTATAATATTCTAATTACGATAAGTTTGTTTCAAATCTATAATTTTTGGATAATATTATAATATATCTATAGGTATAGGGTTAATATTTATTAAAACCTACTCACAAAACATGTTGAAACTTGAACTATTTTCTTCAAACTTTCCAGTTGAGAATTATAGTCAAGAAAAGAAAGTTTTCTAATTAAGAGACTTAATATGAAGTGAAGGATCCATAGTATACTTATAATTATACTGCTGATAGTTTCAAAATCAAAAAACTCATTCTAAAAACCTGATTAAACATGAATTATTTTCTTCAAACTTTCCAGTTGAGAATTATAGCGAAAAAAAACTAAATATAGCGAAATTAGAGCGATTTTCCAATTAGGATATATATAGATATGAAGTCAAGGATCTATAAATATAGTTACTTATAGGATAATTCTAGTTATTAGTCAACCGAAGATAGTTTCTATCTCCAAAAACTACATAACTCATTATAAAACATGATTAAACTTGATTTAGTTTCCCCCACTTTCTAGTTGAGAATTATAGTGAAAAAAATGAATTTCCAATAAGGAGAAGAGGTATAAAGTAAAAGATCTATAAGTATAGTTTCAATAGTTCTAAAAATCAAAAAACCCTCTTTACAAAACCTGTTCAAACATGAATAATTTCTCCCTCCAACTTTCCTGTTGAGAATTATAACAATTTTCTAATTAAAAGATTTACATAAAAAATATATGTATTTATTTAAGTGACCCCTTTGTCTGACCTTTGAAACCCTTTTATTATCATTGCAGATTCAATCGCTGACCGACAGGATCACCGACAGGTAAGCGACGATATACATTTTTCCCAAAAAGGGTCACAAGGGCAGCCGAAGGATCAAGACCGGTAAGTCCTAAGCTCACCCAAAAAAAAGAAAAAAGAAACCCCCCTACCCCTAACCCAGTATGAGTGACAAATGAGTGTATGTGTGTGTGTGTGTGTAATTTTCATGTGTGAGGGATGACATATACGGGGCAACCCTGTTTGGGACACAACCACCTCACACCAGGACACCAGCTCAAGCTTTTCCTATTGGCTAATTACTGTGTTCGCCCCCGCCCTCGGTCCTGGAAAATAATTTGCATATGTGTGTGTTTATGAGAATGTATGTGTGTGTGTGTGTGTTATTTAAACTTTGTGAAGAAAAGCATGCTGAAGAGAACCTACCATCCAACTTTCTTAAGAAAGTGTATGTGTGTGTGGGTGTAATCTAAATTATATGCAATCTGAATTTGTATCTTTGTATCTATGTATCTTATTCGACGATTTGAAGTTGTACCACCACATGCAGCTTAAATAATTTGTAGCATTTGCCGGCATGTCCTGTCCTGCTGGTTTTATCCTTTTTTTTTGTTTTTTTTTTCTGCCACCCACCTCCTCAGGATATTCCATTCAGAAGGAACTACGCGAAACTACAGACGAAGACGTCAACATTCACATCCTTATCCAGCACCTAACACACACACACACACACACATACAGTCAGGGTCCTGGGCTCTCTTTTGTGAAACTGCTCTCCAAGAAAGAGAACCAGAAAAAAATAACGCTTCGTGGGGCGCACTTGTTGGCATCTCGGCAACGTCGTCCTTTTTCGTCTAAGAGAGCATAGCATACTTCTCAGGGTGCCAGCTACAGCAAGAGGTTAGAGAGCCGGGGGGAAGAGAGGAGTTGGGGGGGACAGTGGGTGTCCTGCGTCGAGGCGCTACTGGTGGGTACTTTACTTGATGATTATGGCGACGATAATGATGATTGGAATGGCTTTGATGGCGTTGAAAATGAAGATTGCGTGTAGTAGATTTGCTCTGCTTCTGTTTCTGCTTCTTACTTTCGTCCTTTTCTTCTTCTACTTCTTATGTTTGTGTGTGTGTTTGTGTGGGTGAATGCGTACTTGTGTGTGGCGCAAGTGGGCGGCTGATTTCGGGTAATGCGTCCAACTACACACTATCAGCATTTGATTTTATTACGCTCATTTGTATGCGCGTAGTTCGCAGTGTTTACCTCGGCTTCTAAGTTTCTCTGTTTAGTGGTGGGAGTACACAGTAAGAAAATATCGATAATAAGGGTTTTGGATTTCTTAAAATTAATGGCTGGTTAGCTAGAGAAGCCCTTGCAGGACTATAGAAATGGAAGCTAAAGATGGCTAATAAATGGGTTTTTTTTACTTTTCAATTAACGATAATTATGTAGAAGTATCTTATATAGATAATCGATAGTTTATCGATAGCCTACAACATGAAGATGTTAAAAAAAATATATCTTTTTCTAATCACTTTTTAGATTTTCTTATAAATGTCCTTAATATTTTGGTCCTTTTTATATTGTTATAACTTTTATTTATAACATTTTGATAATCTACTATGGAGAATCGATAGTTTTTCGATAACTTAAGCCATATGTTTTATTAAATATACGTTTTCTTTATTCTTTAATCGTTAACTTTACATTTTTTATATATTTTCTTAGCAATTTTGTACTTATTAAAGTTTAATATATTTCATATATTATCTTTCGATGATCTATTGTGAAATATCTATAGTTTTTCAATAACTTCATCGATGCTTTGTTAAAAAACATTTATTTTTCTGATAAATTTTGAATTTTTTACATTAGTTCTTTGCATTTTATCGCTTTTTATAATAAAATATATCTTTTCTATTGTTTTTCGATAATCTACTCCGATTAAACGATAGTTTATCGATACTTTAATCGTTGTTTTGTTAAAAAACGCATCTTTTTATTATCGATTTTTAAAGTAATTTTTTTAAACTATCGATAAATATATCGGTTTTTTCTTCATTTTCAATAAAAATCATTCTCAAGTATCATAAAAAGTATAATTAATGATATTTCTCTATTAAAATCAGGTAAGTAATATTTTTGTAATTAAAATAATAAATCCCCCCCTTATTTGTGATAATAAAAACCCCAGAATTTCTCTCAGTGCCTTTGGTCAGCTACCAAAAAACCGGCCTAAGCAACAGGGCGACGGGTCCTGGTCCTGGTCTCCGTCTTCGTCTCCGTCTCCGTCTCGGTCTTGGTCTTGAAGTGCTCCCCAAACTTTGACCTCCTGCGGCAGTGACTGAGACCGAGACTGAGACTGAGACCGAGACGCTGGCGTCGCTGCTCGTGACAATGAAGGCCACACACCACGCGGCAGCGACTTTTGCCGGCAATGTCTATGCTTGACTTTCGTCCTGCGGCATCCCCACCCCACCCCTCACCACTTGTCCTGCCAGTGAAGGATACTTTTTTGTTAGTCGAGGACCAGACTCGAAATAGCCAGCTTCTTGGGGGCCAGTTAGTAACCGTTAAGACGTCGCCAGCGACTCGTCGCGACATGTCCTGGAAACTCTCTCTCTCTCTTTAAACAAGGTGACATGGATTTTCCTCTTTCTCTCTCTCTCCAGTGATCGGTGATCTTCAAAATATCCTTAACATATATCCTTATATATCCCCCTCCTCCCCAACCCGCATCAGCTTCCCTCCATTTCATGTCGTTTATTGCATACTTTTTGGGGTAATGCTAGAGCAGCGGAACCATATAGCCGTTATACCGTTATAGCGCGGTAGACTCCAAAAGAGCGGGAAGACAACAAATTAAAATTAAAAAAAACTGCTCTCTCTCTCTCCTCACTCACACGCACTCCCACTCCCACTTCCACTCCCACTGCCACACACACACGCCTACTGACTCACTCTCTCATACACGCACACGCTATCCTTTTTATTCGCTTGGTTATTTTTGTGCGTCGATTTCCCCTTTTTGGGGGGGGTTGTGAGGGTGGGGGTGGGGGGCCGTAGCTCGGCTCGTAGTTCGCTTCTCTATGTGTGTGAGTAAAGCCCTGTTATTTTTTTTTTTGTAATTTTTTTTTTTTACAAATTTTTGTATTTTTCATTTTTCGTTTCGTTCTGTTTCCTTTTTTTCCTTCTCTGCTTTCTTCTTGTTGTTGTTTTGTGTGTGTGTGTGTGTTTGTTGTTGTTTTTTAACTTTTTTTTTTCGCGTCGTCGTCGTGTAAACGCGTTTTTTTAAATTTCCAACTGCTGCCGGCATCGGCACAGGGGTTGTTTGTATGTGTGTGTGTGTGACTCTCTCTTTGTATGTGTGTGTGTGTGTGTGGGATGCAGTGGGGTTGGTTACGGTTACGGGATTTTTTCCACACACACACACACATACTGACTCTTTTTTTTTTTTGTCGTGATGCTGCCTGCTCCTGGTTTTTCTTCTTCTTCTTCTGCCTTTCCCCATTTCCCTCCTTTCTCCTTTCTTTTTTTTTTTTGTTTCAGGCTGCGCTGCCGCTTTTGGGTTTTTAGCATTTTTCGTTCGTTTTTCGCATTTTTGTTTTGTTTCTGATTTTCTTTTTTTTTTTGTGCTTTTTTTTTTTGGCTCTCTGCTTCGGTTGACGTCGCAGTCGCATCCTTTTTTTTAACGGCACACGCAGCAAAAAAAGAGCAAACTTTTGCCTTCTGTACTGTCTCTCTTTGGAAGGGAAATTGTCCATGTGTGTGTTTATGTGTGTGTAAATAGTTGTTGCTTTTTTTTTTTTTGTAGGTGGAGGAGGTGTGGGAGGGGGGGGAGGGGGAGGCACAAACCAAACGAAATGAGTAATGAGTGTTTAGTACGTTGTTTGGCGGGTGATTTTTATATGACGTCGCCGTCGCCGTCGGCAGCAGCAGAGAGCAGAGGGGGGGTAGTGGAGCTAGTGGTGGGAGGGTGTAGAGGGGATAGGCCTATCTATTCTACACTTGAAATGCACTTGCCACAAAGCATAGCATAGCTTTTCGGGCAATTCCAATTGGAATTATCCTTCTAATCAGTGACTGTCTCTCTGCCTATGTCTGTGTGTGTGTATTAGTGTATCTGTATTTGTAATGACTTCAATTGTGTGCTAAATTTTCTATTTCTTGCCGCTTCGCGCACCCAAGGATATCTAGCCAGGCGGCAGAAGCGGCAGAAGCGGCAACAGCGACGCCGCCAACAGCAGCAGCAGCAGCATCACCAAAACAAAGCTACACCGATTGCTGTTGACTGCGCTGCCCGCTGTAAAGGATGCTTCGTCCTGTCGTGCCGACTTCGTGGCAACTTCGTGCAGCTTCGCTGCCACGGTTAGCGTCGCTGTCGCTACGGCTGCTGCTGCTGCGGCGTTGGAAACCGACTTGGACTTCAATCGAGTTGGATTTTTAAAAATAACGTTAGTTGCTGTTTGTTGCTCGTTACGTGCGCGTGCTGCGACGCGGACCAAAAAAATTACAAAAAAAATATATATATTTCAAAAAATATAAATAAATAAAAATAAAAATAAACAAAAATTCTGAATCAGAAAACTCAATTTTTTTTAAAGAACCCAAATATTGCGATATAATACCGTTATATATCCTTGATGATCCTTGCAGCAGGACAGCATCCTTATTGCCGCATTCCGGTTTGTTTGTTGATTGTTTTCATTTTTTGTTTGGTGAATCAAAAAAAAGCATCTCCAACAATACAATTCTGTTAAAAAAAATCTTAAAAATAAAAACACAGCTCCCCCCCTCAAAGTGCAATAATTTATTTTATATATTAGTTTTAAAAAATAAAAATAAAAAGTGCAAGAACCAAGAAACTAAAATCGAGCAACTGCAACAGAAACAGAAATATCTCTGACACTGACTTTGAACTCGAACAAGAATATATATAAAGATATATATATATATATATAAAATAAAAGAAGTAACTGTAACTGTCCAGTAGTGTGCAAAAAAGTGAAAGTGAGGCGAGAACTGAAGCTGTGTGAGTGTGTGGGGCAAGAGAAGAGATGCACGTGGCACACTCGAAGGCAGGACGTTCACAATAGAGGCGCCACCAGAAACATGTAAGTTAGCCGTAGCCGGCAAGCTAGCAGGAGAGCATTTCTATTGCATACTTTAGGGCGCTTAAGGGGGTTTTTTAAAGAAATGTAAAAACAAAGGCTTTTTTTAAGATTTTTATTTAAAATTATAGCATTTATTATATTTATAACATTTATTATATCTCATTCTAATCTCTTACTTCCCTAGTTATTCATGTTTTTTTCATTTAAAACCTCTATTAGCGGCACTACATTTATGTAGCATAGTTTAGGGCGCTTAGAAGGGCTTCTTTTTACCTTTTAAAGATTTTTTTTTTTATTGAAAATTATATTTAAAAAATGTAAAATATTTAATTGTAATATCTAAACTCTTTATTTACTCATGTTTTTCATTCAAAACCTCTATTAACTACTACCTCTATTAGAGAGACATCATTTTTGTAGCATAGCTTAGGGCGCTTAGAGGGTTTTTTATAATTTTCAAAGGTTTTTTAAGGTTTTCTTAAGTTTTTATTTATTTAAAAATGTCTATAAAATTCATAACAACTTGTTTTAAACTTTAACTTCCTTAGTTATTATTATCTTTTACTTAAAACATCTATTAACTATCAGGACAGCATTTTTGTAGCATAGTTTGAGGCGCTTAGGCGGTTTTTTTAATTTTAAAAGGTTTTTCAAGGTTTTTTTTAGGTTTTTTAATGGTTTTTTTTATTAATTGTCTATAAAATATTAAGTTTAATCTCTAACTTCCTTAGTTGTTAATGTTTTTGATTTAAAAGCATAGCTTAGGGCTCTTAGAGGATTTTGTTTATTTTTAAAAGTAATATTAGTTACTTAATTATTTAAATCACTCTTTTTTTAAATTTATAACAACTTGTTTTAATCTCTAAATTCCTTAGTTATTCATGTTTATGATTTAAAACCTCTCTAAACTAAGCTTTTGAATCATTTTTTTTAAATTACTCATTATTTGCGGCTATAATTTATTTTTCTAATTTTCCAAATCTCATCTTAGTTTATAACTAAAATTCTTTGGATTTTTTACATAATTATCTTCATGAATGAGACAGTTCTTATGAGAATGAGTTCCCCATTGATTTTCCAAATATCTCTCATACTTGTTTGGCCTTTTTCTTAATGAATTATTTGTAATATTAATGCCATATATATTCTCTCAAAAAATAATATATATATATACACACAAGATAAAAGATATCTCATATAAACATGCATACGTTCGTGAACGAAAGTTCCCTTGTTCCCTAAACCCATTATTCCGATTATTCACACTTTGCCTTTGATCGTATATATATATATATATATATGTGTGTATTTTTTTTTTTGCATTCCGCATTCTGGATTCTCCTTCAAGTTCTTCCAAATGCCAGCAGTCTTCGAAAGGGGTTATTGAACTTTTTTCCCAAAAGCTTTTCTCTTGTAAACACAATTGTTCTCTTTTTTTTTTTTTTTTTGGGTAGAAAGATCTCTAATGCGTTTCGTTGACCTCCTCGGTATATTACGTATACGCCTCGTGTTTCGATATATATATTTTTTTTTTCGGGACTTTTGTGTGTGTTTGTGTTTATTTATTTTTTTTTTTTGTGACTAACCCAGTCCACAATTAGAAGTTATAGCAATTGCGACAAGTTCAATGCGATCAGTCGACTGTGCTGCCGAGAGAGGTTGTTGTCGAGGTCTCCCTATGGGGTTAATGCCAGGTTGTAATTGCAAAACAGCTCCACAGTTCCACAGGCCCCAAAACAAAGGAGCATTGAGCTTAGAACCTTACAAGTACAGTAAAGCCTAGTGATCTTGAAAAAAACCGACATAAAAATGGTAAGAGAGGTCAGATATCAGATATCAGCACAAGTGCGAGACAAGCAAAATTAAAAAAACACCAAATAGCCACGCATTAAAAAATAAATATAAAAAAAGATTAAAAAAACGCAGCAAAAAAACTACAAGATGCAAGTGGCAACAAGTTTCTCAAGTGGTTTCTTCTCTCTCAATTCTTCTCAGGGCCAATAATACACAGAGATGGAAATTTTTTAAAAGAAAAATTATTAAAAAAATATACAAACCCTAAAAATTTAATAAAAAATAATAATCTATAAAAACTCATATCTTAAATCTTAAAATTTATAATTTTTATTCCTTAAATAAAATTATTTTCCTGTGTAATGCGTTTAAGGAAAGATTGCCTCCAAAGAGAGATCTGCAAGGCGGGGGAGGGGGAGCCTAAAGGGCGATCGGGAATCTGGGTTATGGCAAACAGGGGAGCCATGTAATAAAATGCGGTAATGGTGAGGGGGTAACCGACAAAAATTTTTTAAACAAGTCGTTTTTTATGCCAACATCAGCAGAAAGGGCCTACCGGAGAAAAAAAAAACAGGCCGAATTTCTTGGCTTTGAATTTGGGGTCTTGGGATCTTGGAAGACGACAGGGTCTTATGTGAAGGAGGGGAGGGGAAGAACTGATAAACCTTTTCTTTATGTATTTGTATCTGTACAAATACAGATACTTTGCTGCAGATACAGCTGCAGCTACAGATACAGCTACAGATATAGCGAAAGTTGCATGTCTTACCCTCTATTTACAGAGCAGAGCAAACAATTTTTTCGCCTAAAAAACAATATATAAAATATTTTTCGTTTTTTTAATTTAATAAAGAATATGTATTTTATGTATTTATGTATTTGTGAAAAGAGCTAAACGATCAAGAGCTGTTGATTCGTTCATAGCTTTACATTATTGCCCCCCAACCCTCTGAAAAACTTCTAAAAAAAAAAAAAATATATTAAAAAAAAAAGAGCAGAATCAACCCGAAACGCATACGAAACGATCCATCGGATAGCTGCGCAGAAATTTCGGTTCAGTTCGGGTGTTTTTTTTTTATTTTTTGGCGACTTTGCTGCTCAGCTTTTGTAAAAATGCAGCAGCGATCGCGGTCGCTGTCGGCGTCACTGCCGGCGTCGCTGCACTCCAAAAAAAGCGAAAGAAATATACATGAAAAGTATATAACAAAAAAAAATACAAAAAAATAAAGGCAAAGGCACAAAAAAAAGAAAAAAAACATACAGGCGGCATATAAAGTATACAACAATCACACATACAGATACAACTCTCTGATTCAATTGGGCAGGCACACACACAGATACACAAACACACACACATACAAAGATACGCACTCAGAGGCCGAGGGCAGCGGCGGCACAAACAACCCAACACATTTAACTGCATTTTTTCGGAACTCAGTTGAGCTTTTTAATTCGATCGGTTCAGTTACTAAAGTTAGTTCATCCCAAACGCACAATTTTTTGGGTCCAAAAAAAAAAACATCATTTTGTTTTGTGTGCAACAGAGAAAGGAATACCAACAGACAAAGACAGAGAGATCGCCTAACTAGGATTAGATACGAGAGGGTTCTAAACTCTCTAAATCTATTACAAATTTTTTTTTTTATTTTTAATTTTTGTATCAAGTGCTTAAAAAAAAAAAAAAAAACATAAATCCTTGAATTAATGCGGACATTTAGTGTGTGCCTGTGAAGAAAGAGACTTGTAGAAAGAGGCGGAAGAAAGTGCAGAATAATCTTCAGTGCAGAGGAAAGTGCCGCAAGAGATCATCCCGCAAAATGTGGGTTAATCAGGATGAGGAAACCAGTGCCAGCAGGTAAGAAGAAGACGCAGACCAGAAGAAGAATTCTTCTAGAAGTATCAGGATTACAAATGGAAGACTAGAAGGACATTTGAAGGGAGCTTCTTCGGCATCCAAACTGCAGCTGCTCTACTGGTCTCTTTTGTCCTCTTTCTTGCTTTGCTTTTTGAGGTTTCTTCTCTCCCCCTCCCCTTACTCCCCTCTCTCATTAGCACGTTTGATGGAGAAGAGTCGCGAATCCAGGCCCTTTTTTTTTTGGTTTTTTTTTTTTTTGAGACTGCATCTGCATGCAAAAGATGCATATGTGATGATGCACACACACACCCAAAAGATACAAAGATACAAAGATACACAGCTACTACAGCACAGTAGCTGGCACAGTTAGCCCTGTCTCTGTCTCTGCTACTCTCATGCTATCTCGCTCGTTGACTTGCAGTCTTGCAAAACTTGAGGCAAGCTGAGGATCTCTGGATCTTCGGCTCGTTGGGGGACAACACTGTTCGGCTAACAGTTCGGATAGCCGCCCGAATCCGAATCCGAATCCGAGTCCGAGTCCGAGTCCGAGTCCCAATGCAGTTTGCTGTTCAACGTCGCACCGAGCTAACGTCGTCGTTGTTGTGGCCGTGGCTCCAAAAAAAATAAATTAAAAAATTAATTAAAAATAATAATTTTTTTAAAGAAAAATTTTAACAATTTTTTTGTGCAAAAAAAAGTGTAAAAGTGCGATTATTTTTTTGTTATAAAATTTTTATATTTTTTTTGCTGTTATCCTTGTTATCCTTGTTCGATCAGGACACACATACTCTCTCAGGACATTCTCTCTCAGGACACTCTCTTTCTCACTCAGGTTTAAGCTAAAAAAAAGGTAAGCTTTCTCTGGAAAAACTCTCGCTTTTCACAAAAATCTGTAGAAAATGTGGGACAATAACAAAGGTCGAAATGGTCGCCACGCCAGACACGCACCAGGCACGATGGGTGGGTGGTGGTGGTGGGGGGAGGGCCTTCTAGTCCTTCGTCTAGCTTTGTGATGCAGCCTCTTCTTCTTCTTCTTCTTCCTGTTGTTGTTGTTGTTGTTAGGCGACCGAGACCGAGACCGAGACCCAGACAAGTCAACACACAGAGCGAGAGAGAGAGAGAAAGAGAAGCCACCTTACAAACACCCCCTACCTAGCCGACCCTCTCAGTCTCCTACTTTTTTTTTTTTTTAACCACAAAGACCGGTACCCTACACACACACACTAACACACACACCCATCGAGTCTGTGGCAAGGTGACGTAATGGCAACTACTACTCCACTAACACATTTTTCTGCATTCCTGCAACGCGAGGGAGCCCACCAACCAACCATCCCCACGGGCCAGCAGGGGCTGTGTGGCGGGGGGGAGGGAGGGGGAAAGTCGTGCGACGAGAGAAAAACTGAATGAAAATTGCAGGGAGCCAACGAAGCGTGCCTAGCAGAAAAAGAGAGAAAAAAAAAAAAAACTAGAGACGGAGGAGAGCCAGACTACGACACCAGACAGGGGCGTAGTCCAAAGTAAGAGGGATGGGGTGGGGGACACACACGTGGGATGTAGAGGAGCAGAGGAGACTGCTCGCCAAACTGGTGGTCTCTCTAGTCTCCCCCTCCCCCCATCTGTATGTGTGTGCCGACTGGCCGACATTCAAGGTTGGATGGCAGGGGCGCCGTTGCTGCAATTGTTGCTGCAGCAAAAAAAAAAAAAAATAACAGTAAAAACAAATTGCATGGCTTCCGAAAAACGGGGTAACGGGATAATAAAAAAAAAAAAAGCTTAGGGTGAGAGAAAGATAAAACCCACCAAGGAAGAGAAAAAGAGTGAAAGACGGAAGCATGGAATGATGACTCCCTTTCTCTCCCTTTATTTACAGTTAATCAAAAAAAAAAAAAACACTTTCTTACTCTTTCTTATGGCTTATGGCAACTAGAAGTCATTAAGGAAAGAGTAGTACATACATACATACATACATACATACAGTAATATCCTCTATAGGATAGAAGAGTTTAGCTTTGTACTTCCGTTAGCCTTGGAAACCAATCAACTGTCTCAATTAGGGAGTACAGTACATGAGAGAGAGACCAACTACATATATGAGTCATATATAACTTCTAGCTTTATAAAGTCATGATCATCATCATTATGATCATCCATTCAAGGCCGTCGAGGAGTTGCAAAATAAACACCACCACCATTACAACAGCAACAAAAGCGAAAGCTAAAGCGAAACAAGTCTTGACAAGAAAAGAAAAAAAAAGCAACAGGGCCAAGTGCATAGTTATCGCTTTAGACATGGGTGTGTGGGGGTATGAAGAGAGAGAGACGACTGACAAGACTGGCAACACTGGCTACACTTCTCGGAAACGGTAACTTGCAAGGCCCCCAAGGCCAAGAGCCGGGATAGGATAGACAAACAAATGGCATAGTCACCACCAATCTGCAGTCTACAGTCTACAGGCACAAAGAAGAGCCTAGATATCTACAGTTATAACTCACTAAGAAAGACAAGTCTAGAAGAGAGTGTAGACTCTAGAGTCTTTTCTAACCTCAAAACTAGTTCTTGAGAACTAGTTCAAAAACATAACCTCTTAATTATTACAATTTCCGGTTACATAAGCTTCACTGTCTCACTGGTCTCTTTCTTCTGCCTGCGAGATTCTTCCACCTCCTTCATCTTCATTCGCGATGTTTCTATTTTCTGCCTGGGCAGACATGGAATGGAAGAACCGATGTAACTAACTCCCCCCCCTTCTCCTTTCTTTCGAATTCTTCTGCTCCTTCTCTGCTGGCTCAGTCAGTCAGTTGGTCATGAGTGTCATGTGTGCATAGTTCGGGGAGGGGGGGGAGGAAGAGTGCTTAAGACTAGGACAGACAGCGAAGAAAAGAAGAGCATGGAAGAACAGGGAACGGGGCTTCTTCTTTGCGATCCGATCGCTTAAGTTACTTGTTCTTTTTTTTTGTTGTTGTTTTCTTCTCTTGCACTTTCGTTGACATTTTTCTTTGTACTGTTTTTCAAGTTTTCTTTTTTTTTTCTGCGACTTTCAATTGGCAAGGGTTTCAGTTTACAAGAAAAAAAAAAGAAAAGAAAGACACGAGGGAGGCAACCCAGACGACGAGACGTCGAGGGTCGGTATTATATAAAAAAAAAAAATACCAAAAAAAAAGTTATATTTTTCTTTGGCTTTGGCTATGACACGCGTAACCCGAGACGAGTTACTCTCTTAACGGTAAATTGTGACAAACAGTGACAATGGCCGTGACTGTGATGGTGACCCCATCATCTCTAGACTTGAAAAAAAAAAAAAAATTGTGAAAAAAAAAACCCACAAATGTGTACACTTGGTAAGCCAGATGCGCATCGACTCCAACCTTGCAACAATGCATTGACATTCAGTGCTTGGGGTAGTATCCAAAAAGCAAGAAACGAAAAAGCACAAAAAAAAAGCAAAAAAAAAAAAGCAAAAAAAAAAAAAAGAAACACTCGTCCAGAGATCAACGGCCAAAAAATTTGCCATTCCCGAAAAATACACAAAACTTGGGCACACACACACATACACATGAGAGAGTGTGTGCTCGGGGGGCCTAAAAATAAGTCGCATCCATTGCCTACTCGCTCGCTCTCGTTCGCTGTCTCATTCGCCCCCTCTCCGTAGCGAACCCCTTCGGCTTAGTCGGCCATCCTATCTGCAAGTTCACACACGAGGCCCACCGATCGTATACTGAATATTCCAAAAAAAAATGCACTCGAAAATTAAACTAGGGTCTAATGGAAGTGGAAGAAATGGAAGGAAAAAAGCATGCTTTTCCAGCTTAAAAAGTCTAAAAAAGACTGCAAACATTAAGAAATAAATAACATTTCAAATAAAAAGCATGCTTTTTTAGTTAAAATTGCCTAAATAAGACTTGGAATATTAAAGAAGCATATTTATAAGGAAAAAGCATGCTTTTTAAGGTAAAAAGACATCTTAAAATAGACTCGGAATATGTAAAATAATCAATTTCAACTTAAAAAGCATAATCTATAATAAAAAGCATGCTTTTTTAGTCATAATTGTCTTAAAAGAACTTGTAACTTTTAGAAATAAACCATTATAAACGAAAAAGCATGCTTTTTAGGCTAAAAAGAATTCTAAGATAGAACTGGAATACAAAAAACAACTCATTTCATTTCATTTCAGAATCTCTTTTATCTACAAAAGCATGCTTTTTACTGTAAAAACTTGCTTTTTAATATCTTTTTTCTTATTTAGACACTCTTTTACCTCAAAAAGCATGCTTTTTCTATTAAAAGTGCAATAATAAGACCAGGAATATTGAAAAAACTAATTGTAAAATAAAAAGCATGCTTTTTAAGGTAAAAAGGAGTCTAAATAGGAACTTTAGTACTAAAAACAACAAATTTCTTAATAAAAAGCATGCTTTTTTAGTTAATAGGGATCTAAATAGGACTTTTAGAATTAAAAACGACTCAAAAGCATGCTTTTTTAATGAAAAAGGGTTCTTTATAAGAATTGCAGTAATAAAGTGTAAATTTTAAAGTAAAAAGCATGCTTTTTGAGGTAAAAGAGTGTCTAAATAAAAATAGAACTATAAAAAAGCAAGTTTTTTAGTAAAAAGCATGCTTTTGTAGATAAAAGAGTGTCTAAATAAGAATATAAATATTAAAAAGCAAGTTTTGATAGTAAAAAGCATGCTTTTCGAAGTAAAAGAGTGTCTTATTAAAAATTCGAATATTAAAAAGCAACTTTTCAAAGTAAAAAGCATGCTTTTTCAGTCAAAAAGCCCTTAGAACTCAACAGAAGAATTAAAAAATTAGAAGAATTGCAGAGTTTAGCTCTCCCTCTTTCTTTCTTTTCGAACAGTGCAGTGCTTTAGAGTGCCGTAGAGCAGCGGCGAGGAGCAAAGCGCGAGAGAGGAGCAGCCCTAGCAGCCGCTCTCCGTCGCACAGTTGGGGCCGCGATGCGAGCACATTTTTTATCTAATAACCTTGTGCAATGTTGTTAAACCCAAAAAGTTTCTTAACCTCGCCGGCGCAGTGGCAGCGCAGTCGGCAGCGCCACAAGCAGAGCTGAGAATTGCTAATACATTGTTGCTGCTCTGCTGATGCAGTGTGTGTGTGTGTGCGAATAATCAACAAAAGATGGGAACCAGGACAGAGAGCGGGAAATGGGAGCGGGAGCGGGAGCGGGAGCGGGAGCGGGAGTATGGGTAGTGCATAACAGTATGTGTGTCAATTGATCGCATGCGTGTGTGTTAGTATGTGTGTGTGTGTGTGTGTGTGTTGCGCAAAATGGTCTATAAAATTAATGAGCTGGCCACGCACACTCTTAATACAAGCACAAAAAAAACACAAAAACAACAACAACAACATGTAAATGCATCTCCATATCAAAAGGGAAATGAAAATGAAAAAAAAAAATGGAATGGGGATATAGAGTATAAAGAATGGGGGAATGGGAATGCAAGGCAAACGAAAAAAAAAAAAAAAAAAAGCAAACAAGCTAAATCCCATGTAATGCGAATTAAATTGAGAAAGAGATGGATAACAACTTGCACTGTTACCTCTCTCTCTCTTTCGTTTCCTTTTTCTCCCCAATATTGCTTTGCTGGCAAACTTAGAAGACCACCCCATCCCACCACCCCCATCCTTTGGCCTAAAAAAAAAGGAAAATATTTTAATAAACGTTGCATATTATTCTGCCAACGTCAACTATATATTTTCCAATCAGAACTTGAACATTTTTGATATTTATTCCACAATTCCCATTCACTTTGCTAAAATTTCAACAAAAATAGGCGAAAAAAAAACAAATATACTGATCTCATATTCGTATATTTTTCTTGTTTTTATTATTTTTTTTTTATATTTTTAGTTAAATGCAAATTAGCAATACAAATGGCGCAGTTACTTCCAGGCTCCCACAACTTTCTCGCTTTCTCTTTCTTGCACTCTTACTCTACTATATGTGTACTTACAGTGATCTTGCCAGTTAGAGATTGTGTGCGCGTAACAGAGAGCGCACTATAGAGGTGAATGCACCCCACCCAAAGCAGTCGCATGCATGTGGGAGTGAGCGAGTGGAGTGGAGTGGTGGTGGGGATGAGCCGATCGAGCGACGCGGATGTACCGCTAGAACGCGAATTCCACAGGGACGCGACATTACAAGGGGGTTTCTTTTTATTGATAATACTTTTTTTTATTTAAATATTTATTTTATTTTCCATTCACTTTTTTTTTTTATATAATTTTTTTTATGAATATGAATATCAACCAACCCCCCAACCCCCCCGCCTTTGATCCGGTTTGTTTGTTATTTTCGTACGCTTTTGCAATTTTTTGCAGTTCAACGTTCATTAGAGCGGCGGGCCAATAACTGATTGTTGCACTGCAGCATGGGGGGGGCATGGTGGGCTGGGGGAGGGGGACCGAGAGGCGGCGTACTACTTATCAGGCGAATAATTCCGAGCGATAATGGCCGGGCCGACACAGACGTACACATTTTGGGAGTTGCACGAAGCGCGAAAAATGCCAAAAACAGGAGGAGGGGAGGGGCTGGGGGTTACGACGGCAGTAACAGCGGTGGGGGCGTTGAACGCACAGCGCAGTTCAAAAACCCAATGACGGCGAAGGCGACTGCGCTGCCGCTACGACGGTGACGACAGCGAAAATCAGACGGCAAAAAAAAAAAAAAACACTTCCACTTCCTTTTTTTTTATTTTTTATTTTTTATTTACAAGCACTACTAAAAAAATTATAAAAAACAAAAAATTGGGAAACCCCAAAAACTACACTATAAATTTTTACTTCACATATACACAAAACACACACACACGCATAGAGAAGACTACTTGTTACATTACCCGTTAGTTACGAGTCCCCCCGGTGGGAGATAGTTTCAACGATCCAAAGCCTTTGGAGTCTCTCTTGCAACTAAAAATGTGAAGGAAAATGTCCAACAGATCTAGCGCGAAAACTATTCGCACTCGATTTCTATTTTGACTCAAGAGTAGACCAGTAGACGCGACTTACATGGCTAGTTTTCCGAGAGACGAGAGAGAGAGCTCCCCTCTTCTCGCAATCGAAACTAACAAATAGACAAGAAAATAGTTGAGAGCGAAAAGAGACTGTGAGAGTGGGGGAGCGAGCTGGCACCTACCTACCTAACAGTTTACGCTCTTTTCCAACTAACTGTAATTGGAGAGGGAATAGGTATTACATGACTGCTAGCAGAGTTCAGCACTATTGGTTTCTAATTGGAAATATTATTGCTCCCCCTCACACATACACACATAGATACTGATCTCTCTTATTGGCGCTCTTGGCATATTGTCTCTTGTTGTTTCTCTCTATTGGGCTCTCTTGTATTAGAGAACACCTTTTTCGACTTTGGCTCACTGCTGCTGCTGCTGCTGCTGCTGCGAATGTGAGGTAAACGACCCAATGTCCGAGACACGATGACTAGGTTAAGGTGAAGGTCAAATTAGCAAAAATGCAAAACAACTAAGCGAAGCTGGCGAATAACGAGAGCAAAGAGAGAGGTGGTGAGACGAAGCTGACGGCGCAGTCGCAGCGCACTAACAATAGAAATCGAAATCAACTTTGTCAGCGTTGTAGAATTGGTCTGTCGCGAAGGGGGCGGGGGAAGAAAACAAAAGGAATGGGAATCATGAGTTCGCAAAACCAGAAAGCCAAAGAGGAAGAAACCTGAAGCGTAGACAAAAGTGGTGAGGGTTCTTTATAATTTTTCATCCAAAACCAAAAAAGTTTGTATGAAAGAGATAGATAGAGAGTAGACATAGGCCTCAGACAGGCTAGAAGGAGGAGGAGTGGGGTGTGTTTAGGGATTGTAGGACTGTCTGGGTGGCAGGAGGAGAAAAGATTCGCAGACAGTTCCTCTTCCTCTTTCCTGTCGTGTCTGCTCCCAAGCTTACGCTCTAACGCGCGCGCCAATCTCTCTCTCCCTCTCTCTTTCGCCGGCTCTTTCTTTCTTTATCTGTCGCGTGAGCTTTTTTTTTGTATTTTTTTTCTAATGCTCTCACTCTCACGCTTGCTCTCTCTCTATTATGCGCAACTAGCTAAGCAGCGCTGTTTTGGCTGTGGCAGCACAGCAACGACTGCGTCGGCAGAGCAGACGCTTTTGAACGCAAGACCTTGAACTTGGACTCAGTTTACGAGTTAAAGAATTGGGTTTTGTTTTGAATGCCGCTCTCTCTCTCACTCTCTACATCTGTCTCTCTGTCTCTGTCTGGCTGATGCCCCTCCTCTTGTTGTACTTTCTCTCCTCATCTCATGCTGTTCTAATGGCAATTAGCTTTAATGGCCCAATTAACACGCATTAATCAGGTGCCCTCTATCCCTCTATTTCTACAAAAAAAAAAAAAATGCAAATGCCCCGTTATGGCCTCTCTGGTGCCCCCAAGTACCATGCTGGCATGTGTACTGTGTCTAGCATTTGTCTAGCCACACACACACACATACAAAAAAAGGGGGACGCTGGGGACTAAAGAAGGCTGCCCCCCCCCTGTAGCATACATTGCTGCATTTCTGTAATGCGCTCTCTTCTTGCACGACGTCACCACCTCTCGTGCTCTCCCTCTCACTCGACTAGTTTTTACACAGAAACTTTCGCTTTTCATTCTATGGCTTTTCCCATCCCACTCACACACACACACACTCACATTGGACGTTAGATTTTACATTTGTCCGAGTCGTGAGGGGGAAAAAAGGGTGTGCATCCAGAAGGGGCGGGGGGCGGAGGGGTGGAAATGTGTGCGATGTGGGCGCCAGAACGTCTAGCCGGCAACAAGTGGAAGACAGGGTGCCGGCTAGGTGGCTTGGGTGGCTTGGGTGGCTTTGGTAGCTGGGTGGTGGGGCTGGTCTGTGGCTGTGTGGACTGACCTTGTTTAATGTTTTGTAAACTGTCCTAGAACTTGTCACTCTTCTAGCTTTTTGCTTTTTCTTCTCTCTCTCCCTCGGAATAGAGTAATCGGACCTGGGAATAATGCTGATAGTCCCACAAACACACACATACAGACTAGTAAGCATGTGTGTGCATAACTAAATCACTTAACCTTGAAAATAGAAATCGCACACACAGGCCAACCAAACAAAGATAGGGAACGAAGGCAAAGTCAAAAAAGAAATCCGCAAAAAAGTTTTCGGACAAACAAAAAAAGAAAGAAAAAGCAAACATACTCAAACACGCACACATGCACGCACGCACGGACATGCACGCAAAGAAATGTGGGAGAGAAACAAGTTTGCCTAGATAGATCTATCTGTTAGATACAGTTAGTGATGGGAGATCAGTTTGTAGAAGTTTGTTCTAATAATAATGTTATATAAAGTATATGTTATCTAAAATATCAAAATTATCGATTTATTAAAATAAAAGAATTGTTTAGAGATGGGGGAGATCTAACAAAGCTAGTCCTTAAAGTCTAGTTATCGATTTTTATCGATTATGAAATTTTTAAAGATTATCTGCTGTCTTTTTGGTGATGGGAGAGTTCTTACCAAGCTTGTCCTCAAAATCCTATCTAAAGCTAAGCTAAACTATCGAAATATATCGTTTATGAGCTGATTAAAGAATATCTCTCGTCTTATTAGAGATGGGAGAGCTCTAACCAAGCTTGTTTTTAAAATCCTCTTACCTAAACTATCGAAATATATCGGTTATATAATTATTTAAAAATATTTAGAGTTTTTTTTAGAGATGGAACAAATTATCCTTAAAATCCTCTTATCTAAACTATCAAAATCTATCGTTTTTATAAATTATTTAAAAAAAGACAGAAAATTATAATAGTTTCAAGTGTAGTATGGAACATCTTGTTAAACTTTTAGATAGTATATCCCCCCTCCGCCTCATATCTGGTCTGACTTTCTGTACATATACTTCTATTTTTGTGGCCATTATACAATTTAGTTTCCAACTGAATAAACTACTGCTGCTCTATCTAATCTCATTTGTCGTTGCTTTTTGGCTTTTTTTTTTGTGTTTATTATTTTTATTTCTTTTCTGGTTTTTTTTTTTTTTGGCTTTTTATAAGCCACAGCGCAGTCAGCCAAATAATTGCTTTTATTCAAACTCACACCCATACTCATACAAATAGTGAGAGCCGAAAAAAAGAAAAAAAAAATGACTGCAACGAAATCAACTTTTTCTAGAACTATTTTGAAGGCTATGGGAGTGAGTGGGATAGAGGCAGAAGTCAGTGTGTGAAAGAGAGGCTGCTCCAAACAAAATTTAATAATAATATAGCAACAACAATAACAAAAACAGCAACAAAATGTAGTATTTAGCCTTGAAAGTTCGTAAACACTACGGGGCATTGCTATGTATATGTATGTATGTGTGTGTATGTGTGTGAGTCGGGGACTGAAGATCTGTTATATGCAGAAAAAAAAAAATAATAAAAAAATTAAAATTTTTAGAAAAAAAATCTAGTTGGAAAGACTAATCCATAACGATCCCCACACTCTCATCAATTAGGTCATAAAAACTTGATTAACTATTTCATCATGTTATTAGGTTTTTTTTATTAATTTTAAATACAATTTAAAAGATTTTATTGCTATTTTCCTTTTAAAATTTAAAGATAATCCCACTAGTTGAATGCAATCTTTCAGATACAGATACAAAAGTATCTAAATGCCTGTTTCTTGGGCTCTTTGTTAGTTTATTGAAGTTGGACTGTGATAATTTTTTTTTTGGCAAATTCTTCCCCCCTTGCTAGTCCTCCCCCCCCTTGGGGCCATTTTTAGTTATTAGTCAGCCGGCAGCAGCGACTGCGACTGCGACTGTGACTGCGACTGCGACGCGTTTATTTTGTTCTATGCACAAAATTCCGATTCTAGTATAAAAATTGCCAAGGAGAGAGTGTTAAAGAGAGACAGAGCGAGAGAGAGAGCAGTCTCAGAGTGAGATCGAAACATTTTTTGGCAAAAAATGAATTTTTTTTTTTTTGGAAGCTTCTTTGTATGTGTGCTGCGTCTGGGAATTCTACGTTCTAACATGGAGAACGTTCTCCTAGCACTCCAAGCTCTTTCTTACTCTCTCTCTCTCTCTCTTTCTGACCCGCATCCTGACTGATTAGTGCTATCCCTGTTCAATCCTTTCGATAGAGCCTTTCAAACAGAGCGTGCGCGCCTTGTCGCTCCCCGGCTTCTTCACCTTTCTCCCTTACACGCTTTAGTCTCTCTCTCTCTCTCTCTCTTGCTCCCGCATCCAGACATTGCCAAAAAAAAAAAAAAAAAAAAAAATAGTAATTGCTGCGTGTGTGTGTGTTGGTGTGTGTGTGTGCTGACTTTTTCGGCAGCCGCCTAATGCGCTTTTTTGTGTTCTGCCAGCGGCGACTGCGACTGAGGCTGAGGCGCGAGCTGTGCCGGGCAGTGGCAGTGCCACTGGCACTCTCTCTTCTTCTTTAGCGCAAGTTCAGTTCAGTTTCTACGCTTGCAATCATCAAACGCAACAAATACAAAATACCGGAATATCTCAGAACTAAACAAAAAAAAAAATATAATATAATAGAAGAAAGCATTTTTTTTGTCATCTCTACAAATACATATAGACACTATAGAGATCCAAATGGATGATCCTGCATTCGTTTTGAGCTATTAAGCTCGATTATGTATCTCAAAGATAGTTTAGTTTAGTTATTCGGTTTCGTTCGGTCGGTCGCTCCCTTTTTTTTTCTTAAATTATTATTTAAAGTTTAGTTTAGTTTTTTTGGTGTTTTTTTCGGTTCGGTATATAAATCAAATAACGGTACATACATACATATATCCTGTCCTGCCAAAACGTGCGTGTGTGTGTGTGTGAGTGGGCATTTTTTTCTTCATTTTGTTGAGTGTGCAAAAAAAATAAAATATATATATATACATATATATTTTCCAAAATTGCAAGACAAGCATAAAAAAAAAAAACCCCATTGAACCAAAAAAAAAATATTTTATTAAACAAGAAAATGAGCTTAAAATGCTCTTTAAGAAATTATACAACATTATGTGGCCAATAAGAAGAACACTTCCCAGCTAATCAGACAAAAGGAATCGTATTCCAATTAGAGCGCCAGCAGCAGGAGAAAGGTGAGCTTGCAATTGGAGAAGCAATGGGAAACGTTCCATAGGGGAACTTCACTCCAAATTCAAATAGGAATGGGAATGGGAATGGGATCTTTCAATGGGAATGGGAATGGGAATGGGGAATGGTATATGAGAATACCAATTGGGAATGGGAACTGGGAACTGGTCTGGTAATGGGATGACGATATCCATGCATTCCCATAGACAAAGACCTCTGCTATTTTTATAATCACACATATACCTTCATATCTCTATATATATATACATATATTTAATAATATAAACACACAAATACATACATAGACTATATTCTATCTAGAAACTCTTAAAAAACAAAAAAAAAAAAAAAGTGCAGCGCACGCCTCACAAACTTATCTAATAGTTTAGTTTTCACTTTCAATGCCATCGTCGTGCGAAAGCTCTGCCGCAGTCGCTGCCTCAGTTGCCGTCTCGGTTGCGGCCGCTGTTACTCGGCCGCTGCCGTCGCTTATCGTCCAAGTGCCAGAAAGAGAGCGCGAGTGCGAGCGGGATGGGAAATAGCTTTGTGAAAGTTTTTTTTTTTTTTTTTTAATGTTCTGTATTTAAATTTTATTTTTTTTTGCATTTTTGTGATTTTTCTGCAAGATCTACAAATGGAATTTTATTCAAAATTCGAATATTTGTGATCTATATGGGGTTTTTGGGGGGATTTCTTAACTTTTTTTAATTTTAATATTTTTAAAGGATTTTTTTAAGAATTTCTAAGTCTTATAAATTTCTAGGATTATCGGAAAAGGTTTTTGAAGATATGGTAACTCTCTGAAAGTTGTTTTAGAAAACAAAAAAAAATGTGACCATGCTTAGAGAAAAATAGGATTTAAACCAGGATTATAGAAAAATGTCCTAAAGCCTTAGAAGCAAGGAAGAAATGAAGGAAGAATTCTAAGAATACTTGGAAAAATATTAAATTCACTGAAGGATTCAAGGAAAATTATGAGAAAAAAAGCTAAAGCCTCTAGGAATATTGAAGATAATTCTCTAAACTATTTTTGAAAATGTGACCATGTTTTAGGGATTATAGAATAATGTCCTAAAGCCTTAGAAGTAAGGAAAGAAGGATTTATAAAATACTTAAGAGAATTTATTAAAAACTTTACTATTTAGAACCTTAAGGATCATATTAGAAAAAATTAGAAACAGCTGAGATTAAAAAGAAAGTTCAAAAGCCTATAAAAAGTCTTTTAAAATTTTTCTTTGGTGAACTTCCTTATTATCACTTTAAGATCATTATTTTTTTATAGTTCTTCAAAAAGCATTTAAAATTATATATATATTTTTTTTTTTAGAAACTGTGACAAGTGTTTAATGCTATTCTTCATATTTTCGCATTTGTTATAAATCGGTTTTATATTTTTTTTATTCATTTATTCCCCAACTTCTTAAACATTTGCGATGCGTTTGCTGTTTTCACTTGAATTTCATTTCTATATATATATATATATGATCTTTTTTTTGTATTGTTTGTTTTTATTGTTATATATATTTTAAACTTTTGTATTTTGTTGTTTTTTAGAGCTGCTTCTTGCACTCGTTATAAATTTTTTGCGTCCGTCTGCGAGTCTTGGTTTTTTTTTAATTTTATTTTATTTTTTTTTATCGGTAGTGGTGGTGCAGAGTGCTAATTGTCGTCTTGATAGTTTATTTCATTTTTGATTCGCATGGTGACATAGAAATGGGTTTTTGCTGCTGCGTCGTCGCCGTGGTTGACATTTTAAACTGCATTTGTTAACAATTTTGAACATTTCGCATAGTTGCAAGCGAAACAGAAACAGAACCAGAAACAGTAAAGCAGTTAATGCAAAAAAAAAAAATTAAAACCGTAGGCAAAGTAGAAACAAATGCACAACTTTCAGTTTGCGCAGCACAAATGACAGAGAAAAATTTTAAAAACTGGCCAGGGAAGGGGATATTCTTTTTTTTTTTGATCCACTTGTAATCCGATTTCAAGTCGAATTCTAATTGTTTGCTCTTCTGCCTTCTTTTCATTTGCAGTTAAATAATCATTAGTGAATAGACCAGCAACTCAACATAATCAGCAACTGGACAAATCGAATCAGAAGAAGCATTAAATTAAAATAAAAAATAACACCAAAGCAAGGAAAAAAAGAAAATAACTTGAAATAGAAAGCCATAGATTTGGTTTTCTATAAAAGAACAATTTTTTGTCGCAAGGGGCAAGAGAAAAGCCGCCAAAATACGCAAGAAGGTGACCTCGAAGAAGGCCAGCGTTGTGTCGGTTGACGACGATCACAACAACAACAACAACCACAACAACGACCACAACGCTCGGCAGCCAACACCAACCCCAATCACTACCACTACACCAACACCCATCCTTTCAAAATCAATCATAACAACAACAACAACAACAAGAACACCAACACCAACTGCAACACCAACATCAATTACACCAACAGCCACACCAACTCCAGCACCAACACCGGATTCGATTGAACAGGATCCGTTATATCGTCGTACCGTTAGCTATTTTCACGAACAGGATCAGGAGCTGGAGGATCAAACAGCCGACATGGACGATACACAGCACTTTTGTTTGCGTTGGAATAACTACCAGAGCAGCATCACCTCGGCATTCGAGAATCTGAGGGACGATGAGGCGTTTGTGGATGTAACGCTGGCCTGCGAGGGACGCAGCATTAAGGCACATCGCGTTGTACTCTCAGCCTGCAGTCCCTATTTCCGTGAGCTGCTTAAGGTAAGTTCATTGTCTTAGACATTAGGGGGTTTATCTCCAAGGAGTTTATCTCTAAAGGTACTATCCTTTACTTTCTGGTATTTTTTATTAAAGAAACTGAAAAGAAAGGAGTTTATACTTCATATCTTTAATGTTACCTATAAAATTGCATGTATTTGAAAGAAGTACAGTCTCAACAAAACATGTTCTTAGAACTAGTCTTGTCTTTTCTTCAAAAGTCTTGTCTTTTATATTTTTTTTGCTTTTTGGGTAAAAAATACTTAAAACTAAAGACTAGTTTCTTTCTTTCTACAGTTCAAACTATATTCCAGTTCTTTCTTCAGTCTTTCTTTCTTTTCTAAAAAGAAGTACAGTCTCAACAAAACATACTCTTAGAATATGCCTTGTTTAGTTTGTTTTTCTATTCCCAGAGTGTTTAATAGCTCTTTTCTTTTTGAATTTAAATTAGAAAACTTAAAAATAAAGACTGGATAGTTTTTTTATACCCTAAAAGCAAGAAAGAAACGTATATTTCAATAAAGTACAGTCTCAACAAAACACACTCCTAACATTAAAGTTGTCTCTTTGTCCGGGTGTCCGTTTCTCCCTTAATTTCTAGTATTCCCCCTTTCTACCTATTTTTTATCTGGTCCTACTAATACTAAATAAAATCTAGGTTATCCTTAGTATATACTTTCTTTTTCCAATTGAATCTCTTAGGTTTCTCAAAACGATCGAAGGCTTTTTTTTTTTTTTGTTTTTGTGATATATTGCTCTTTTTTTCTGATTTCCTTCTCTTGCACTTTTTTTCTTGTAATTCCGCCTTTACAGTTACATCAAGTTGAATGCATTATCTTCTCGATTTAGTGTGTGTGTGTGACCCACTTAAATCGGTTCCCCATTTCGATTCGCACTCTCACTCGAATCCCCCCATCTCTGTGTGTGTCTTTATCTTCTGCCACATTCAGAAAAAAAAGAAACGAAAAAAAAAAGAAACAGATTTTTGCACATGTGTGCCACAGCCGTCGTTTCAGTTTCCTGTCCTCCAAGAGACAGAGAGGGGGTACCAGCACTCCACTCCACTGGTATATATATATGTATATACTGCAATATCACGAATCATAAGGACCTAATATATTTTTAGGGATTTAATATTTAAACAGTGGCATGTGGCGCGTGGACTTTTAGCTAAAATATTATAGCCCCAGACTAAGTTGCAACTGTGGTGGCATTTTAATTTATTTAAAAAAAAAAACCCCTGCCAGGACTATGCCAGGACACGCCAAACAAAAGTTACCCTGCCCAGAAAGGATGGGCCAGGAAGGATGGCAGGAAGGAAGTTTTTCTGTAATTTCTAGCCATGCGATATTTGCGGTGCAAATGAGTTACGTTTTTTGCCCTTTTTTCTTGTTTTTTTTTTTTATTCTTTTACAACACTAGTAGGTATGATTGATTTGTGTGCTTGGATCATGCAACGCATCTACATTTGAAGTTGTTGCAAGCCAGCCAGCCAGCCAGTCAGCCAGAAGGCTAATCCTTGCAAAGTTGCCAACTTTTGTAAAGTCGGTAAAATAAACTTCCAACTAATGCAGCAGAGACCTCCCTTTTAGAGTATGGTTTTTTTTTTTTTGCTTCATTATTTTTATTATGACATTAAAATTATGTGAATCGTTGTATTGTTGTTGTTGTTGTTGTTATTGTTTTGCCCGCCAAAAACTTTGCGACTGACTCTGCATTGAAAATATTTGCACGAAATTGCGGTTTTTTGTGAATTGAGGGCCCTGAGGGACAGACTTATAGTTAGACACAAAAATAAAAGAAGGAGTACCCCCCTTTTAGACTAGTTGTGTTGCTGCAGAAATTATATAAATTACAAAGTTACCTCCTTCGACCTTACTTTACTTACGGTTTTCCTCGTTACGGTTACTATGATTTGTTAACATGATAGAAAACTTTCATTTTTGGCTTTTTCGTTATTATTTCTCCAAATTATGCGACGATGTCTACAAACAAAACAAATAAAACTTGTTGTCAGTTTGGTATTTTTTTTTTGACTTTTTTGTAAAAGAACTGCAATTAGGAGAAAAGTGCAGTCAGGGCGTAGTCGAACCCAGAACCCTGTTCTGATTACGCAATTCCAGAAAGAAACATGTCAAGACTTTGGCAAAAGTTTCCTTTTTTTTTTGTCAGCATTTAATTTGTTAAAAAGGCCAACTAAATGCAAGAAGAAAAAAAAATTAAAAAGGGAACTGCATTTTATTTGTTGTTGTTGTTACCCCAGTCCAGTTTCGTTGTGGAAATTATGTACCCAAGAAATTAGTATACAAAAAACTTTGCCTCATTCTCCAGCTCTGGTTGTGCCATTTCGTGCCCCAACACCGTGTCGACACAAAAAGCGGCACAAAACTTTGTAAATTCAATTTGAAATACATACAAAAGGCAATGAAGGAGTGCCTTGGATGCCCTGACTGGCCTGACTGGCCTGCCCTGGCTGGACACAAAATCCAGACAACACTCTTCTTGGCTCTTGTCCAGAGGGCCCCATCCAAAAAAAAAAACAAAATACAAGTAGAAGTAGAAGAACCCCTTGGGTACTTGGCGTCGCAATTGTGCCCCGACTTTGCGCCTATGCATAAATATTTAATTAACTGCAGCGCATTATTTTAATTAGGTGTAAAAACTGCCAAACAACAACTTGGCTTAATGGCTAAAGGAATTTTTTGCTAAAAGCATTTTTCCCCGCTTCTGGCTTTTGTGTTAAAAAAAGGGATGCGACGACACGCCTTCAATTTGCATTTGCATTTGCCAGATGCAGATATTATTTAAAAAATAAAAAATAAAGAAAGAAAGGAAACTGATCATCTCTCCTGCAAATTGACCTCAATTTCGCAAGATATATACATACACACAGAAAGAGTGCTAACTCAATTGTAAATATATATATATCCAGTACAGATACAGATACTCAGATACTCAGATACTGAACACATATGCATCCATAAGATGCAACAAAAGACAAGGCGAGAGGCGAGACTTGACCTAATTTCTAGCAACCAGCTCCCTTTGTTGAAGTTCCACTTGATAAGTGAAATTTTTTTTTTTTTTTTCAACAAAACTGGAATGCACTGGCCCTGAATATTGGAGTATATATACCAATACTTTAAAAGATATATATAGATATATATATATATTTTGCACATTTAGTGTCAAGTGTAGAGTGTACATATGGAGATCGAAAGCGAACTTCAAATCGCTTTAAACACATTGGCCTGTTGACATTTTAAATTGCAATATACCATATATATACATATATATATAGTAGTACAATTGAAGGTTGTCTGGGCCAGAGCCCCCTTGATAATTACCCTGGCAAACAGGCTTATCGGTAGGACCGGACCGGGGGTAATACTTACTGAATCATTATTCCCTGACTAATCCATATATATATTTTTTATACATTTTTTTTTTAAAACAGAGTACTCCCTGCAAGCACCCGGTTATATTACTGCAGGATGTTAATTTTAATGACCTGCATTCCTTGGTGGAGTTCATCTATCATGGCGAGGTTAATGTTCATCAAAAGTCCTTGCAGTCCTTCCTCAAAACAGCCGAGGTCCTGCGTGTTTCAGGATTAACACAACAACAGGCCGAGGATACACATAGCGTAAGTAGAAATATTAAAAATAGAAACTATATTTTAAAAATAAATAAAATATAATATAATAAATATATATATATATAGCATTTGGCTCAAATCCAGAATCTGGCCAATGCCGGCGGACGTACACCATTAAATTCGCACGCTCTATCCCATCCACTGCCCCATCATGGGGCATCGTTGCACGACGATGGTGGCGCCTCCACATTATTTAGCCGCCAGTCGGCGGGATCACCGCCACCACCGTCGGTACCCTCGCTCAACACTCACATCAACAATCAGCTGCTGAAGCGTATGGCGATGATGCAGCGCAGCAGTGTGGTGGCCGAGGATGCTGCCACCCATGCCCTGAAACGTTTGCGTGGCTCTGATAATGGTCTGCCCGGTTCCGGTAATGCCGGTGGCGGTAGCAACAACAATAGTCCCGACTTGCCGCCGTTCCATACCCGCAGCGCCTCGCCCCAGCAGACACCGGCCGATTTTAGTACCATCAAGCACCACAACAACAACAATACACCGCCGCTTAAGGAAGAGAAACGTAAGTGTGACCAAAGTGGCAAGAGAAGCGTGCTTCAAAGATGGTAACACTATAGATTTGAGTTTTTTTGGGGATTTTGTGAAGTTTATAGTCTGGTTATAGCTATTAGAAGATTAAATATTTCATTATCAACAAAAGTGTGACCATATCTACAAGAGGAACTTGTTTATAGATGGTAACACTAAAAATAGGAAGTTAAGAGATGGATATTTCTTGAGATTTTCTTTGGTTTTGTGTTGGGACATGATTTTATGAAGTTTATAGTCTTTGCTTTTGTTTTTTAAACTGTTGAAAGATTAAATATTTAATTTCAAAACAAAAGTGTGACCTTAGCTGCTATAGAAACTTGCTTAAAGATGGTAACACTTAGGACAAATTGTTGAAAGATGGTTATAGCGTAAGACTATCGTTGGTTTCATGTTTTAAAATTATTTAACAAAGGTTAAAGCATAGGCTTTTGTTATTTAAACTGTTAAAATCATTAGTGTGACCAAAGTTCCAAGTGAAACTAGCCTAAGACACCAAAATCCACTTGATAATCAAAGTTTCCATCCTTCGAAAACCCCTTCCAGGCAATGGACCCACTGGCAACGGAAACTCTGGCAACGGCAATGGCAATGGAGCGAGCAACGGCAATGGAATCTCTATCAGCGACAAACTGAGCAGCCTAACACCCTCGCCCCTGGCCCGTTCCGGTGCCGATGATGTCAAGTCCGAGCCCATGGAACTGGTCTGTTCCAACAACAATGCCAATGCCCAGGACGAGCACAGTAATGATTCCACAGGCGAGCACGATGCCAACCGTTCCAGCAGTGGTGATGGCGGCAAGGGCTCACTGAGGTACGATATTTTAACCTATTCTTAACCATAAAATAATTATAATTATAATTGTGTTTTTTTTGTAGCTCTGGCAATGATGAGGAAATCGGTGATGGACTTAATGCACACCATAACGCCCCGCCGTTTATAATGTCACCGGCAGATAGCAAGATGTTCCCAACAGCTGCATTCAACTTCCCGATGGCCAATATCGATCATTCAGCGTTGCTCGGTGCGTAAGATATATATATATTTCAATTGATATTTAATTCGAGACTAACTGACTCTTAACTAACGCTTTCTTTCTCTGCTCACTCTCTCTCTCTCCCTCTCTTTCTTTCTTTTGATGTGTCTCTCTTTCTCTATACTTTGTTGCTTTTGATCTGTCACCAAAAACTGACTGTGTCCTTGTCCTGTGTCTGTGACCTAATCTATGACCAATAATTGACCATCGGACACAAAACAGGTCTCAACACACAATTGCAGCAGTCCGGTGACTTAGCCGTGTCCCCTCAAGGTGAGTCCTAGCATTTCTCTATTCCGTATATTCTATTGTTTCGCTCTATTTGCGCTCAAAAAGCTCATTATTACATTTTTTACATCAAATGCAAATGCAAATGCAAGTACCAAAGATATAGTAGTATAATATATATACCAGAAATATCCAAGTCTTAATCAAGTCAGATCCAATATAGATACCAAAAAAAAAAAAAAAAGAAATGAAAGGCAAAGAAACAGTAAATAGTAACTTTTGTAAAAAATGAAAAAGAAAAAAGTTATCAATATCAATAGAAATCCAAAAAAAAAAAATCAAATTTTCATACAAATCCAAAATCCAAAACCAAAATTCAAAGCCTAAATTGCTTAAACTGCTGAGAGAAGAAGAATTATACGTATATAATAATAAAATATTTTTATTTTTTCAATATTTTTTGGCATAATTTTTGTAAAAATTTAGTTTGTTTGTTGCTATTTTGTTTCTTGTTTTTTGCTTTTTTTGCGTTTCCGACTGACTTGAAAGGACACACACAGAGAATATATCGTGTCGATCAGGAGCAGGACTTTTGATTTAACTTTCGATTTATTTTCCCGTTTTTTTTTCGACTTTAACTCATATCCGCACCCGAACTCGAACTCGAATACGAATCGAACTCGAATCCGAAGTCGAACTCTCGAAATACGAATTATAAAACGAATGGTCCTTCGAGACAACGTATCTTTTTTTTTACGGTTTTTCAGTTCGTTGCGATTCTAAATCGAGTTCCCGTCGTAGCATATACAAAGCGTATACAAATTTCTTTCTTGTTTGATTGTTTCGATGGTAAATGTTTTCATTTGTTTCGGTCACACCCACCCATACACACACACACCCCCACACACATACACAGTACCACCCAAAACCAAACACGCCAAGTCATAAGAGACCTCCTCCTTAATAAAAATAAAATAAATAAAATAAGTACAAAATGCAGTTTAGTTTTCCGTCTTAGACATGCTTAAGCTCTATCGAGAATGGCAACCCTGGCAGTGATGAGTGTTGCATAATGAATGGCTGGGCATAATTGCTAAACAAACTTGCTGAAGCAACAGGCTTCCTTCCAAAACCACACACACACACATCCTTTCAGAACTGTTTGATGAACTGCGCGGAATTAATTAACTCCAACCGCAGAGTGTTTAGCAAAATTCTATAACAAAATTGTGTATGTGTGTGTGCTGTTGTGGTTAGGCCGCAACATTCTGGGGCACAGACACACACACACACACTCACTCTTGATTGCCGGGGATTGCCTTAAAGTCACAAAATTGCTAAAATGCCAGAAAAACACTCATACCCACACTGTGACGAAAATAGAGAGAATTATATGTTGAGTCTTCTTAAGTCCTTTTAAGTCCTTATTGTTTTTTTTTTTTTATTTTTGTTATATATACATGTGTTTCTTAACCTTTGTCATTTCAATTCCGTAATTCCGTAATCCGCTAATCCGTTTCCGTTTACGTTTCCTGTTTCTCTAATGTTCTTGTTCTTGTTCCGTTTCCCATTTTGTTTCGTTATTGTGTGCTAATTTTTTTTTGTATTCGTAATAAATAAAAAAAATAAATGCCCAGCAACACGCACTTACACTTACCGCCCTTAAATATATATAAATACATTCATATATATACACACACACACGCCTAGATATCAAAATCGAATTAACAACGTGACCCCCCTGCCCTTTTATTATCCAATGAGATTTACGTTTTTATTTTTAACCAAATCAAATTCCTCCCTTAATCCTTTTTAATTAGTTTTTTTTTAACCCCAAGGAAAGAGTTTTATTTTTTTTTGTAAAAATATTTGTTGCGTTATGTTTCTTTTTTTTTTCATTTCCGTTTCTGTTTCTGTTTCATTGTTCCCCTTCAAAAAGCAGAAAAATAAACACTAGACATTCAAAAAATGATATTAAAAACTATTCAAATTAAATACCGGAATAAAAGCTCAGATATATAAATTTTTTGAGCCAAAAAACACCGAGTACATTTTTGCAATCGAAATTTTATTGGTGTCAACTTTTAGTTTTCCATGTAAAACGCAACGCATTTGAAAGATCGAATATATACTTACATACCTACATAATTAATATATATATATTGAATATTGAACTCTTTCCTTTATTTGTACGTCGTCGTGCTTGTGTCTAAAACTATGTAAACCCCCCCTTAAAAAAAAAAACATTCCAACCCCCACCCCCCTAAAACCAAAATTAACCACCCATATCGACCCGCTCCCAATGTTTTTTTTTGTTTTTTTTTTTTAGCAAAGTCAAAAGAAAAGCTTTATTTACAATAAAAATTGCATTCGAACATATTCGTGAATTATACCGCATTCATTTTCAATGTGTCTTTTGTTAACAACTGTCGAGGTCCATTCCCAAAAAAAAAAAAACAAAAAACCCGCAGCCTGTGATGGAGATGGAAAGCGTTTCCGGTTTTTCGTTTTCGTTTACCCACCAAAAAAAAAAATATCAACCCCCTTGTATATCCAACGCCCCTGTCTGGGGGTATATCTCTCTCTCTGTCTCATTTCAACTCGAACCCCTTGAATTCGGCCATACACACACACACACAAATATATAGTGTCCCCCCCTATAAAACTTTAAATGCGAATACAGAAATAAGTGCACACCACCCGCAGGTTTTTTTTTCTGATAGTCTCAGGCCCTTTTCCTCATTACTGCGAGAGGATCCAGACAGAGCTCAGCACAGATTGGCATTTGTACCCACACACACACACATTCTATCTTAAAAAAAAAAAACACCCACACATACAAAACTCCTTCGAAAATAAAAGTACAGTACACACTAGACGCGTTACGCGAGTATTCCATTCCGTTTCGTTCCGTTAACGTTTCGCGATTTCCGTTCCGCGTTCCACAACGTTCCAAAACTCAACTCAAACCTCGAATTTGATCGAATTTTTGATCCTGCGATCGTTTATTGCTTATTGATCATCGATCATTGATCATTCGATCACTCAAAAAACACCCACACACCCCCACACACACCACCACACACTCGAATCGACAGGACGCACTCACATACACAGAAAGAAAAGCACACACTCAATCGTGAGAGCCTCGTTAAAAAAAAAAAGGAAAAAAATATTTGGAAAAAAGATCAAACTCACTCACCCACTCACACCAACATACATCCAACACACGCACACGCATACGCCCACGCACACACATACATGCGCTCAAAAAAAAAACAGCTAACAATTGAAAAAAAATACACACACACACACACACAACTTGATCACCAAAAAAAGGATAACTAACACCAAAGTTGATCGACTAACGCTAATCTCTATTTACTTTCCAATTGTACTAACTGACCAAAATTGAAAAATTATACCCCCCACCCCTCAAAAAATCGTGAGATTTAAACATATACATATATATATCGTATATTTTACAGTATATATGTATGTGTATATACCCACCCAACACACGTATATATATGAAACAGATTACATACATAAATATTGTTAAGAATTGATCGATCTAACCCCCCCTACCCCTGCATACGTATTATAAAACCGCTTTACTAAAAAAAAACCCGCCCCCAAACCCCCCAGGAATTGATAAAAAAAATGGGGAGCCGACAAACTCGATACATGATACAATCACAATACACCCAAAATCCCCAAGAAACCCCCCCTTGGAAATCCAAAACCCCAGCACTAAAGTACACAAAACTGAGAAAATACCTCCAAAAAAAAACTGAAATCAAGGCTTCAAAGTATATTAATTAAAAATTCGCTTTAAATTTCGCTCTATATATATATATATGTATATGTTTGTATATATATATATGTGTATATTTGTTGTTGCTCCACACACAAACAAAGAAACACACCCATACTACACCCACACACTACACACACACAGAGATATCAGAGTATTAGCTTACGCCTAGCATACCTAGAATAATACCTAATTTAACTCCCGTGCAAAGCATTCAAAATTCACTAATTTTAAGTTTCACAATTGGTGACAAAAAAAAAATCCTGAAAATAAATTAAAAAAAAAAAATACGCCTAAAAAAAATTACGAAAATAAATGTATTTTATTTAAGTTACCACCTAAGCACACTCGAATTGAAAGTCACCACGAATGAATTACGATCATTATCGATTGGCGAGCTATCGAGGGGTTTGAGGTTAGAAAATACCTTTAAAAAATATCGATAAAAAAATCAAAAACTTCCAAAAATTAAATCAAAATCTCATACTTACCTCAAACCCCTTTTAATGGCTCATTGAAAAATTAAATCAAAAAGCAAAAACTATAATCTAAGCACTATGTAAATTTTTAACAAAATTCCGATAATAAGAGATTTGAAATCGATATCGATAAATGCTAAAAAAATGAAGAAAGTATCGCTAAGATGCCGCAGAGAGATGATGATGTTGCAGATGAAAGTGATGATTTGGCAAGGGTTTAATTTTAGTGCTTCTTAAGAGACACAACCCCACACAACTCCCCCTCCCCCCCAAAAAAAACTACACAAACACACACACACACACACTAAAAGAGACACTGGAAAAAAAATAAACAATTAGGTACGGGAACACACGAACATGGAACTACAGAAATACAATATATGGTGATGGTGTTTACACAAAAAAAAAACACAAAAAAAATAAAAAATAAGAAACACACACACACAGACACCAATACAAACGACACACTACCACACAAAAACAGAAATACACTTACAGAAATTCTCTGCCTCCTTCCCTACAACAACCCCCCCTAAAAAAAAAAGAAAACTCTCACGTTTGAATTGAATTGCTCCTCCTTTCTACTCCTTTCTTTCTCCTCTATTTACTTTGTAAATTACCAAAAAAAAAAAAAAAAAACAAAATTAAAATTAAAATTAAAAAAAACACACCAACGCACACTATGGTAATAAGTTACAACAACAAAAACAGCAATTACAATTACAATTACAACTACAAAACCAGAAACC